TTCCGACACCTCCAACAAATATCGTTAATGTATACAAAAACTTAACAAATTATATACTAAAACCTTCCTCGAGAACCACTCTATCCATTGGTGAAAACAGCATGAAAATCGGTGCAGTAGTTTTTGAGTTTATCGCGAACAGACAGACAGACGCGGCGGAGGACTTTATTTTATAATATGTAGTGATACCACCGTTACACTGTATCTCCGCCACTGGAGTATGTAAATTTTAGGAAAACCCCTCTGATATTGGACAATATTTACATAGATACATGTACCCAATTTCAAATTATTTCACTTACTAATTTTTAAATTATTTGAAAAATTTAAAATATTTTAACACCCTGTATCTTTTTAACGAAGCGTCCTAGATAAAAACGAAAGACTCCCCTTAAAATTCACCAAAGAATATTAGGTTTCATTTTTGGTCACCGTTTGTGAATCACGCTGTATATTGAAATTGTAATCGTTGTTGTAAATTGTAAAGTAAAACATTGTACTTTGAAATATTTTAAACAAGATGTACGTTGATGTACCTATTATAATTATTTGTAGATAATATGTGGAGTCTTAAGAGTATACAATCTGATCACTGTTAGTCATGTAATTGAAAAAACTACTCTAGTTTATCCTAATAAAAAAATTACTTAAATATTTCATAAATATGGCATTCCAATTCCTAGTGCACCCTAATAAACAAATTACTTGAGACATTTTATAATAACAATATAATAACAACAGCTTACTATACTAACAACTGCTATTAACGCCGAAAAGGAAAATTTGATTTAGTCTTTTACTACCGCTACAATCCTTTAGTTTAGATAATATGCTTTGACAATAATTTATGTGATACAAACAACTATATACCAGAGATGCTCAAAGTAATACTTTTCAAAGTACCATACCATGCACAATCTGAGGTTAGAACACTACGTATTCGGTGTAAAATAGCATTGCACATGCTTAAGCGCCTGTAGTTGAGACTATCACTCATCTGGCGATTCGCCCAAGCGGAGATCGCCTGGCGAACGTCTATGCAATAGAAACTACGCGCCGTTCTTTCGCCAGCGACTCGCCAGAGATTCGCCAGGTATAACTTCGGCGAGTCGCTGGCGATCGACTGTGCATACGGGTGTTACGAACCACGGAAACGTGCACGTACATATCATATGCGCCCGTCGCATCAATATTCAGCAGATCATAAAGTACCGGTAATAAAAGTGTCGCATACCTGCATTTCATTTTCAAAGTCTATGCAAGAACGCGGCTACCTTGTTTTTATTGAGGTGCAGTAAGAACGATTCGGATCCAGAGTTTCGGGCCTAGCCTGGTCCACTATATAATTCTTTTTATTGCAGTCTCCTCGGTCTGCATTAGGCATACAAAATTATTTTCAGAATAAATTGTGCATCCCAGATTTTGTGAAAAAGAAAAATAAGTGTATTAAAAGTAGCGACTATAAATTGGATAAAAGTATGCAATTAATTTTGATGTCGAAGCAAACTTGTATAAAAAAATCGAATAATTTTTAGTAATAATAAACATTTTTATATATTAAGGTACACACTATTTTTTTATAATTTGTTATTTCAAAAAACGTTGAGTAATGTACGTGTTGCAGCATACTGCATATTATTCTATTTTTTTAATTAACAATTTATTGAATAATTGAAAAATGTTGAATAAAAAAAATAAAATAAACTGTACCTGAACATAAATATTCCTTACTTTTTGAAAAATATATTATATAAGTTTATTATAAATGCACTGTTTGAATCATACAATGTGCAAACTTAAATTTCTAGTCAAACTGAGATAGCAGGTTTTTACTTAAAGATCTGAGCTAGCATGTTTTCCAAGTACAATTTTAGATAGCATGTATTCGAACCGAAATTTAAGGTAGCAGGTTTTCCAACCATAAAAAGGAAATGTTTTCGTACTAAAGTGTCGAAATCACACTGTTTTGATCTTAGAAATCTTCCATTTTTATGGAAACCTTGTTTAAGACAAATAAAGATATTTACAAACTTCCGTGATTTTTAATTTTTGATTATAAAAAAGTTTAAGATTTCAAGACAAGTGCAAATTATATTCATATTTGTCTTTTTTTCTAGTTTATTCAACACATGACATTTGCTTAATCCTGGACCTATTAAGACTATGATGCATAAAAGATTTTATACTATTTTTTAATTTATTTTTATATATGAATTTGTATTATGTATAAGATATAAGCTTTAAGATATGTTGAAATGCTGCATATTTTGTGCATTTTAAAATACAATTTTTGGAATATAAATTTGAAATCAGAGCTCTTTTATTTTTTAAATACTCATTTGCCGTCAAATTTTATCACTGAAAAGTAGTACGATTCTCGTCTTAAGCCAAAGTAAAATAGCGATGTAAGCATGCAACTAGGGCATTTATATATGACTGTATAAAAATTGTAAATAATCAGTTTAAAATGTAATACAATAAGATCAGTAAATTGTTCACCACTAAATTAATGTAAGTGCAATTTCTAAATGTATTTTTGGTTATTGGAGAAATAAAGTATATAAATTGTTGCTTTATTATTATATTATTATCTTTATATTGTTATTGAAATATACATGACAAATCTAATATTTGTTTATTTTTTTACTCTGTATTACTCAGATGAAAGTAAGTGATGATATTTAGAATAAATTCTTATACAGGAATACTTTTTAAGAGTGGCGGCTTGTGATATTGAGAATAGGTGAAGCATATTCATTGATTGACTAAAAAGCAAAAAAAGCGCCGCTGGCGAAAATTTTCAAATCAAACAGCTTTCAATAAATCTGGAAATTTTTAGTTGCATTTGCAATATTACCAAAAACTGACGTTCGTGAGAAGGATTCTCATTTAGATTTTATAAAAAATAGAAATATTAGTTTGGCTTGTGGACTTCTGCGAACATTAACGCACACCGTACATGTATGTTCCAAAGAAGCTTTGTGGTTATGACAACCTCGCGTGACATTCCCAAAATTGTTAAATCCCTTCTTATTCCACTCGCCCGACTTTACACCGACAATTAAACACGGCATACAGAAAAGTTTTTTTGAATGAACACTTCCACACAAACCACTTATACTCCGAATACCATTCATTCCGAAACTTTCGAATGTACACATTGTTTTGTGATTTTTTTCCCCTTTTTTTCCATATCGAGAGAATAAGGCACAGGTCTCTCTCAATTTAAAAAGCCTTTTTGTCCTCAATTTTCCATCTGGAAAATGGCGTTTTCAATAAAATACATGCTGAAACATACATAGGAAACATTTCTATAATTATTATACAAAACAAATATTAACTGAGAACCGTTATAATCGTCTACTGGGCGACGCGTGTCGTATAAACTGTTAAAGGCAGGAGATGGGTGATGGCGATGCTGCTTCAATTTATATGCCTATATTTATTAGTTACCTACTCAATTAAAAAAACTAACAGCAAGTTGCATGCAATATACAAGGCCACTACATGTCAAAAATGAAGGAACATTTTCCTCGTCCAATAATTTTGTATTTGTAGGACATAAATATATTGTGATTCAATGTGCAAAAATTAAGTCTGGGATGAAATTAGTGCTATAGATATGAAATAAGCTGGTCATATTTTCTTAAACTATTTTAATTTTTAAAATTAAATCTATTTTGAATGAAAATGATCTCTTGTTACAAATGAAGCAGAATTTTTCTGAATATTTGTTTTGAAGGCCCCGTTTTTGAAATACAGAATGTCAAAAGTTAAAAAGGAGTATCGGTAGAATCATTAAGGTATCTTTAAATGAATTAAAAGACATATCGGAAAGCATATTGAGGCACTGCGATGTCATTTTAAAGACATTTTGTAAAATTATTTAAATATATTCTAGATCTAGATAGGTACGTATCATTTTTACAGATTGATAATTTGTACCAAAATATGAACAGCACAAATTGATACCTAATTTTCATGGAAAATAAGATTTCTGAATTTGAAAAAGAATTTTCTTTTTAAGAGGTGTGCCTTTATTTTTGAGGAAAATGTTACTAGCATAGCAACTTATAGAATAGATGTGTCACTGGTTTGAATTCAAACTAACATTTTTCTTGTTTGATGCTACTTTACTCATGTATGGTATAGGTACATGATTTTGATGCAATCTTCAGAAAATATTTAGAGATTTATTTTTTTTTAATTTTTAACACCATGTATCTAAAAAACAAGGGCTGTTATACATATGCCATGAAATTAACCTATAAAGTACATGATCCAATGGCCATATTTCCTTCACCATTAGAGTAGTCATCAAATCTTATTCAGTGTACTTCTGAAGAAATTATATCACATTTTCCAAATACAGGGTGATTCACAATTTGGGAACAAAATTTTGGGACTAGATGGGTGATAAAAAATAGAGTCAAATCGTGAAAAAAATCTTTGTAAAATTATAGTTTCTGAGAAAAAAATTATTGAAGTTGTAGTATTTACAACACTTCCATCTGTAGTCTCTAGCATCATTCGTGTTGTGCGCTGTACGCAATTCGCTTTCTCTTCACATAACCCCAGGTGATTCCGAATAGTGTTTTACATTAGTTTTTCAAGTGTCAAAAATGGCTTACGTGTATAGTAACTCGGAGATGGAGATCATTTTAATTTATGGTGAGGCAAGACAGCATTTGTGTTATGGTGAACCAAGACAACATTTGTGTTATTAATTAAAATCACTAATAAATTGTATTAATTAATAATAAAAAAATAGTGGTATTGAATTTGCTGACATAAAATAGGTGTTATAAAAATTTTATTTATTTCTTGGGAAAGAAATTTTTTAAATTTTTTGTCCGTTCGTGCTGCATGTTTTCCCTTGCGTAAGGTCAGGTTTTACAGTGGACCAGTTTCCAATGCCGTGCAGAAGTGTACTTTTAAATCATTTTCGAGCTGCCCTTTTTGATTTTTTTTTTATAAAATTGTATTTGTAAGTCTCCTGTACATTCAAAATTTTTTTTTTGGATAAGTTCTGAATCACCCTGTAGAAAATACAGGGTGTTTCTTAAGAAAAAACAATTTATTGCATATCAATTGCTTTTATCCATTGATGTTCACTGGTTTCATTATAGCTAATCAAATATAATTTTTTAAAATTAATTTTGGATCAATCACATTATACTGACGACAAAACTTGAGTCTATAGTTAATTCATACATGGTTTAACTTCTGTAAAAGATTGTTGCATTACTTTGGAATCAAAATTCAAAGTCATAATTTTTCCAAAGTCGAAGTGTGAAGAAAATTATCATTTACCACTTTGTTTTTTTTGAAGCCAAAACAATTTGCAAATTTCAAGATAGGTACAAGTACACTAGGTTTTATTATTCCTTGTTAGGTTACTCAACAAAATTTTAAAATATTAATCAAATATTATCGAAGAAAATTGAAATTCAAGAAAAATGTTTTTCTTGAAATTTTTTTTGGAAAAGGTAAAATGACATTGTTTATATTCATTTCTTTTTTTATCAAGTACAAAAGAAATAAAGATTACACTTGTGATTTGCCCAAGAAAAATAAAAACGAAAAAATATTCCTTACGAAACCAGTTTCTATGATACAAACTACTGTACATTGACAACATATGTGTGCAATATTACAAATTAATATATCTTTCTGAAAAAAAAAGAGAAAAGTAAGTTGCTATGATAGACTATGACTATTACAAAGACAAAGTGATCGAATAGTTAATTTGTAACAGGTAAGGAAAAAAGAAAAATACAATTAAAGTCAAATAATTCCTTAGCTCGTTCATTTATTTGTATCTAGAGAAATTTAAAATGATAAAGCACTACACAATTATAATTAGTAAGACAATACTAAATTATATATAAATTAACAATTCAAAGAGAAAGTAGACCATTAGTTAAATTGCTAATAAAGTTAAAAACTAGAGCCACGAATGAAACAATAAAAATATTGTGAAGATACATAATATTAATTGTTTATAAGTCAGTCCTCCTACAACTCAATTAATTGGTTCTGATATAATTAGAATCCATGTAAAATAGATTAAATTAGGTGAACAAGTTCCATGTTGTACATAGGTGCTGAACACCCACATTCTACTTTTGGGCATATAAAAATGAAGGTGCATCTTTATTTATGACATCGAATTTAGAACTTCCAAACGAGTACAACAAATTTTTTTTATAGTTTCTTGAAAAATTAATTTTTGGTTTTATATTTAAAAATAAATTAATGAAAAAAAATATCACATATAATTAGGTACTTACTTTTATTTTAAGTACTATTGAAATATAGGGAAAATGTGCTCATTATTTTTTGTAGTGAAAGTCCATTATGTCCAAAATAAACTTCTCACACCATTACCTTTTTTTTTAACATGCAATTATATTATGTACACTTGACTTATCCCATAGCAAAGCTGTAATGCTCTAGTTGGACTAATAAATATATCTATATATCTCTACCTATTGATTTTTCAATATATAGCATTGCAAATGCTGTTAGTCTGTCTTTATAATCTAAATTAAACATTTACAATCTTTAAAAAAACACGCAAGAGACAATGCATAGGTAACAAAGTTTTACACCACACATAAACAAATTACTTTTAATAAGAAAATAAAGTAGTGAATAGCTATCATTTGGTTACTGACGCACTAAACAGAGTCCAAACTGCATAATAAATATGCGCTACTACCAGTCCATCTCTCACTGCTTTGCGATGGTAACCATGACCACCGCTGTAAACTCTACAGATTTAGCGACGAGCTACGACACCATCGAGTGTTTTCAAAATGAATTTTGCAGGTCGAGTTAAATTGACTGCACATTGCAAATGCAACATTTCTTTTTTAATGTGTTTCATTGATTGCCCCTCCCCCCAAATGGTTGGAAAAAAATATTTTTTTTTTAGTAAATAAACCACTGCTATCAAATTGTTACATTTGTGTGATGAAATTTGTTATCTGCACATTCATTTCCTTCTCAAAGTACTGGCAACACTACCACTGTCTGTAGCAACAGCGGAAAGAACATTATCTTGTCTCCAGAGACTGAAGGCTAGGTCTACAATGGTACAGGATCAGTTAATGGTCCTAGCTTTACTGCATGCCCATTACAATATTCAGTTTAATGTGGATGAGATTATAGATGTATTTGCAAACCGAGAAAAGCATCAACTAAAATTTGCTACTTGTTTGTTATTTTACTTTTTAAGCAATGATTATTATAACCAAATGTGCCAAACCAAAGATCAAAAAGAAGTAATAAAGATTAAAAATTACACGAGACGATTAGTAGATCATAAGAAAATCCTATCAGTAGTTATTTGGAATGTGTAAATTATTATTTATAAATCAATATTGACTTACAGTTTTGGATTTGAATCAAAAATGAGTTTGATTGAGATAGACGGTTTTGTATCGTGTCGACAATAAGCTTAATGCTGATTTCTGCACTTATACACATTTGCTCTTTGTCTTAATTCCTCAGAGGAAGTAAAGTCAGCATCAGACGACAAATACAATAAAATAATACAATAAAAATAAGTTGGATAATTCTTTAGAATTTGTCGCTGTGGGCAGTACTAATTGTAAGTGGAACAAACAGCACATATACTACAATCCAGGAACGTACACTCCTGACCATACATTCAGAAAATCTAACCGAAACAGATTTTGCATGAGGGTAATGCTTTTTTCACCACGTACTGTGTGTCTGGCGGATCTTTCGAAATATCCCACTTCTGGGTTGTAAGAGGGGGCAAGCTAATTTTTGATGGAATACCTTCAGTACAACTCACATAATAAAAATGTAGATCCCTAGATCTGGACAAGGTCCGGAACATTTACAAAATTGCAAAAATGTAAAAAATTTAAAAAAATACCTACTACTAGTTTTTCTACTTATATCTTGGAACCTATGCATTTTGCAAGAATATTGATGAGGATAAAAGTTTTAGAATTGAATTTTGCATAGTATACTGTAAGTTAAAACTGTCTAAATTTATTACCAATGTTGCAAAATAGCAACAATTGATGAAAAAAAGGCAAAATAATCAAATTTCTTGGATAATTTTTAAAAAATATTTTAATTGCTCCGAGGGCATTCTAATTTTGGTAAAACAAACTTTAGAGTATAATAAAACAATACACCAAATTTCATTAAAATCAGTTCAATAGTTTTCGTAAAATAATTTTTGAAAAAAATTTTCAAATTTTAAAAATGTTGCACAGCCTCAAATAAAGCATCTGGATACTTGAAAAGTATTTTTTCACATAGAAAAGACTGCTCTACCTTTCAAGTGGTTTTTGAAAAATTGAAATCGGTTGATTAGGACGGCCACAGTAAATTTTTAAATTTAACACTTTTTTTATTTTTAAACAATTAAATTAATTATTATTAATTAATTAAACAATGTAAATTAGGTTATATTTATCAATTTGCAATTTAGTATTTTTTTTAAATTATAATTTTAAAGTAGTCGGAAAGACGCTTCTTTAAAAAAAAAGTTAAATTCCGTTTATTGGTTCTCGAGATATGAGCGGTCAAAGTTTATCGGCATTTACCGTTAATTTATAAACAATTTAGCAATAATCTTTGATCCAGTGGCTTCGTTTTTGCGAGTTCTGAGCTGGAAAAATTTTCATATCCACAAGTTATTAGCAACATAGATAAATCATCGGAAAAGCTGTCGCTCGCACGCGCGAACAGTGACTCAAAACACGAAAAGTAGGGGAGAGAACTTTCACTCCGAGACTGAATTCGGAGGTTCAAAATGCAAAGGTATAAAAAAAACTGCATTATCTTGGCTTTTAATGGACCAATTTCGATCTTTTTTTTTTAATCCGATGTCTCGCGAGCCAAGGATTTCGAATATCGTAATGCCAAATGTCTAATTTGCACATATTTTGTTATAAACAAAGTTTTTTATTTATGCATTACATATACTGTATATTTTACCCTATTGCATTTTTTCAATGAAATTCTATTAATTTTTTTTTAAACAAATTAAAAAATTTTCTTTTTTAATTTGGAAATAAATTTCTTTGTTAAATTAAGAAAAAATAGTAGTAAATTGCAATTGATAAATGTAATCTAATTATTTGAAAATAAAAAAAAGTGTTAACTTTAAAAATTTACTGTAGATGTCCTAATCAACAGATTTCAATTTTCAAAAACCTTTTAAATTTTTTTCAGAAAATTATTTGGCGAAAACAATTGAACCAATTTTAATGAAATTTGGTGTGTTGTTTAATTATACACTAAAGTTTTTTTACCAAAATTAGAATGCCCTCGGAGCAATTAAAATGTTAAAAAAAAAATATCCAAAAAATTTGATTATTTTGCCTTTTTTTCATCTATTATTGCTTTTTTGCAACATTGGTAATAAATTTAAACATTTTTAATTTCCAGTACATTGTGCAATATTCAATTCTAAAACTTTTTTCTCCTTCAATATTCTTCCAAAATGCATAGGTTCCATGATATAAGTAAAAAACTCAGATACAATAACATTTTTGCAATTTTGAAAATGTTCTGGAACTCGCCCAGATCTAGGGATCTACACTTTTATTATGTGAGTTGTACTGAAGGTAATCCAGAAAAAAATTGCTTGCCCCCTCTCGCATCCACCTCAAAACAGATCCGCCATGGTCTATTAATACATGAAGAAACAATAGAAAAATGTCTGTAAAAAATGACAGTTTTTAAAATGGAACACCCCGTATATTTGAAAGGAGTTTTTTTCAAAATTGTAGTGATACCATTTGATAGGTCTATCTCTAAAGATTACACAAATTTTGATAGTCTATTAACCAACTAACCTTCTAGTCTCAATATCACTTTTTAATGGTATAGTCCATTAGACCTGTCGAACTTTATATTATTATAATCCTCACTGAAAAAATATTCTATTCAGATATATAATATACAGGGTGATCAATTAAAAAAACTTAGGTTAACCGATTTTATATCTTCGATAATAACATTAGCAATAGTGTCGCTTTAATTTGAAACACCCTGTATACAAATTAAAATTTCAATAAATATATAAAATAAATAAAATAAATAAAAATAATCTGGCACCTATATAAAAAATATCAATGTGTTTCTATTTTTAATTTTAAAATTTAAGTCAATTAACATTTTTAAACAACTAATCATTATATTAGTTTTACTTTTAAATCTTCATATTTTCCTTAATTACTACTCAAGATTCTTGTACTAGATTAGAGATATATTGCAGTGTACTTTTGTCATGTAGAATTTGCAGATGATCTACTTTTGGTAATTGTTTTATGTACACTTTTCTTTTCTGCATTGTCTGCCAGTATTTACAACCTTCCAATGATCTTAAGTTTACTGTTCCATCGCCATCCCCATTTAAAAGAGTTGGGTAGCCGTCTAACCAAGTACCTGGCTTATAATATAACCTATAAGAAAATCAGATAATTTTTTGGAAAAACATTTTTAATATGAGTTTTGTTCATATGTTTAATATGCAGAAAATTTAAACAATAGCACCATTTATTTTTAGGTGCCCGGAAAGTTATAGAAAAAAATATAAAACGATTTAGCAAAACTCACGTCATGCAAAATTAGAAAATACGTGACTTCACCATTATCAAAATCTTATAAAATTTCAGTTCAAGTTCGATTGAAACTGTGTTCACTATCTCCTATAGATTCAATAAAAGGAATAATAAAAGCAAAAAACTTACTTTTCAACAGTACTAACGTTAAAGCCATATAAACAATGAACCTCAACACCAGGAGATTTAAATTTCAATTGATACGGTTCTGTATCTTTCCTCATTTCCCATCCGTCCGGGAAAGATATACCCCTAAAAATAACAGTAACCAAATTCGAAAACATAATATGTATATAAAACTTACGTAAAGAAATCCTGCAAATCATTTAGTGTATAGTTTTTCTTTTCAGTTTGTACCAGAACCTCATTTGGTTTCCAAAACAATCTAGATGGCAAAAGCCAGGCTAAACTTGGAGATGTAATTTGTTCCTCTCTCATTACACTTTCCCTTAAAACATATGACCCTAAGTCGTCACCTAAAATTTTTTTTAAATATAAATCGCTATTTACATCAATTTGTTGCATATATTAGTAATTAATGGTGGAAATTAAAGCCAAATTTTAAAGACATGTATTTTTACTTGTTGATGTTTCATCACTATACTATACTATATAAAGTCTGTCAGGAAACTCCAGGAGGTGATTCTAGGGATTAAAGTAATAGCAGTATGTAATGAAAATTTTTTTGTTTGCAAGTTACAGCTTGTCAAAGTTCAATTTTTTCATTTTTCTCTTTAAATAACTTATTTAATTCAAGTTCGATTAGTCTCTCATTTGGCACATAAACTGAGTAGATCAAGTTCTATTGGACCATTCAGAGAAAATTTTTTTTATGTGCCGCTAGAGTGCTCTTTACCTACTTTGTTTTGTTCATAACTGTTTCCTTTGCTAGACATCACAGAAATTTAAAATTTGTTGAAAAGAGAAACAGTATAAGAAAAAAATATGTACTCTTTATTCAAGCCGATGAATGTAACAGTTTAGCAGGAAATCGCTATTAAACTTTTATTAAACATTAAATTTTGGATAATTCTTTCTGTAATTAATCAAGTTGACATGCCTCAACTAAATGTCATTAGAAATTATGGTATTACGAATTGTAACGAAAATTGTTTAAAACAAGTATAAGTTCATTTTTTACTATACAGGGTGTCCTTTCTTGATCGAAAAGACTATGATTTGCGTAAACAAGATTAAATGAAGTAATTTCCTGTGATATCTATTAGTTAAATAAAATTAATTCATCACTGTTTTATTCAAAGCAGTTTAATACGATAAAAATCTGCAGTAGTTGTGCCTGAAAACTTAACTTTAAAAAATCTTCCTCCTGGAAAAAAAATTACCTCAAATCCAAGTATCTCGGAAACTAGTGGCTTTTCGAAAATTGTTTATATCATAAAAGATGCTTATAATTTAGAGATCTTTTATGTGCGCCACTTTTCAAAAATGAAGTCAACAAAATATGTTTTCGGATTGCAGCGACATCTATACCTGCACTGAGAGGAACAGGATTTGTACTCACAAGTAAAGCTATTTATTGAAACTATACAGTGGATTTTTCAGAAATCATTTATCTTTTTCCGTTTTCGAGATATCCAGCTGGGGAGTTTTAAATGGGACACATATTTTTTTTAGGCTCTGTAATAGTATTGTGGAAAAATAAGATGAGGATAATAAATGTAGTAATAATATTTTATTTACTAAAGCTAGTTTTACAATTCGTAACACCATAATTACTAATGACATTTATTTGAAGCATGGCACCTTGATTGAGTACAGAAATAATTATCAAAAATTTGATGTTAATAATGATTTCCTGCTAAACGGTTACATTTATCGGCTTGAATAAAGAGTACATAATTTTTTCTGATGAAAATGAATTAAAAATAAGTTATTAAAAAAGAAAAATAAAAAATTGAACTTGAAGCTGTAACTTACAAATTGACAATTTGAAAAAAAATTTTCATTACATACTGCTATTATTTTAATACCTAGAATCACTTCCAGGAGTTTCCTGATGGACTTTCAGAACACCCTGTATATTGTGACATCCTTAGGACAGCTGAAAAACTAATGTTTTCAGTAGTTCAGCAGTTGTCCTGAGGACTTTACAATATACAGTGCTATTTTTTTAAAATCTGACATAGGCCAACTTTTTTATTTGAAGTAATAGACTAGTACTTCCAAATGCAAAGTTGTAGGAAATAACATAATTAAGAAAAATTTACAAATATTTTTTCCGGTGTTGCCAGATTTCTTCAGTAGCTACTAAAACGATATTTTTTTAAATGGCAACATTTTTTTAACATAATTTGACAAACCATGAAATTCTAAATAAAAAATGTTATGTCACATTTCTTTATTGGAGTAGCGGTTTTAGAACAATCAACAAAAACAACAAAAATAATCTGCAGTTAGCAGGAACTAAAAGAAGCTAACAGCAAAAATTTTGTTGTTTAAAAGGAGCCATCATTATTGTGTTGTCATTGTGGTATTTGACAGCTGTTGTATTTGAACATGTATAAAAATAACGCTATAATTAAGTTGCGAATATGATTTTCAGCCTTTTGCAGATCCTTGGGCAACTACCAGTTGTTCTTAGTTTTACTAAGTTATTTTTAAAAAACTCCGAATTTGGAAGAGGCATATCTGTATGTCTTGCATGGAATTAAACATTAATTCAACTTTATCTTGTGGATTGATTGTGGAACTTATTCATATTAGCAACTGAATTAAAACGTTATTTTTTTATACACATTCAAATACAACAGCTGTCAAATAACACAATGACAGTATAATAATGATGGCTTCTTTAAAAGAATGTGGCTTTAATTCCCCCCTTTGAATAATTAAAATCTAGGCTGCTAATAACGTCTTGCATAAGTAATGTTATTTCTCACATAGCTTGTATACAAAACAAATGTTTTATTTACTATAAGAATTCAAAGTGTGATTAAGTAGCATATTATATATTATCAAGAATGTCATTGTATAAATACCCTAAATTATAGAACAAAGGAATACAGAGTGTCCCACAAGAAAGTACGCAAACTTTAGGGGCATTTCCTTAGTAAAAATGTTTATACCTACCTTGATCTGGAAATGTACCATTCTCAAATAAAGACTAAATTTTTTGTATTTTTTTATTAGAAATGAATCGTGATAGCTTTACAAAATTTTGTATAGTAATACATTTGTTTAATACTAACAAAACTACTTAAAAGTGTAACTTTTATGCCTATCAGTTTTTTCTACATATTTTTACAAAAATGTCACTATTATCAAATTTTCTTAGATTTTCAGATTCATTTATAAGAAAAATATATCGTCGCTGCGCCATCAAACCGCATAATAAAGTTAAAAACAGCCATCTTATTTTCTACAGAATTGTCACTGTTTTTTAGTTTTATTTTGTTAATCTACTATTTATTTTTTTTTTGTAAAACTACAGTTTTTATTGTAAAACAAAAAGAAAGTGGAATAATTAATGTGCATTTTTTAGATGTAGAAGTTCTTTAAGAAAATAGTTGACATCCCAATATCTACGGCACTAGCAATTAAAATGTATGTATGTACTAGTATGATCTTGTAATTGATAAATGCGTGTATAATTGTAGCAAATAGTTTAAAGTTGTAAACATTCCTAAAATGTATTAAAAACAATAGTATTATTAGAAGTATTAATTTTCTTTTCCATAAGAACTAGCTATAGTAGCTATATCCATAATAATTAAGGCAAAGGAGAAATATTTTTATTAATAATAGACATAATATTTATTTATAGAAGATTAAAAATAATGGTATTTTCTTACCTATAGCATAAACTTTCACAGCCTTCATTGATCCACCCCAGACCCCACTAAGAGTGATTAAACGTGCAACGTACATGTTCTTCCATGCTTGATTCTGCAAATTTAAAAAATACAAGGACATGGGACCACCCATCGAATGTGCTATGATCATTACTGGGGTGTTGTTATTTGCTTCATAAGTTTCTTCAATTAAATTCTTCAGTTTCACAAAATAACTTTTATTTTCATCTGAAAACACATGCGTATTTCAGTCACATTTTTATAAAAAAAACTATTTTAATTCTTTAATCTTGTGGAAATTTTAAATTTAACGCCACTAATGACAAAGATAATAAATAATATGTAAGAAATGTAATTTAAAGGATGATAATTTTTCATAATAATAAATGTTGATGAGTGTTTTAAAATTAATGATTTAAAAATACTATGTATATTAATCGAGAGTGTTACTGTCTTAGGTAGTTTAATCTTATGCAAAAATTCGACTTTGAAGGCATTTATTTCACGATAACAAAAAATTAATGTGATAGTAATGGAAACCAATAAAGGCATTCTTATATAGCCTCGCTGTGCACTGTTTACTCATTGTAAAACATATTTGTACAAGTGGTTTATAATAACACTTAGGTAGGTAAATTAGAAGCGCGTAAAAGGATTAATCAAATTGTTTTTTTTTCGTTGCAATGTGGTATTTCATCAACTATTTCTCTACTTCTCTAAGTTTATGACTTTAATTGCCCAAATTATGTTAAAAACTTTAAGGTATACTTACTGAAATGATTTAATTCGGTAATTCATTTGTATTGCAATTAAGTAATTAAATTGTGTTGCAACAAGTTAAATATAATGAGATAGTTATAAAAAACCAAAGCACAAATTATTATACCTACTTGGTGCTTTCCTAAAATCGTATGGGGCTCCCTTAATACTAACGTTCCTTGTATAACCTAAACTAACAAGTGTATTTGTAATGTCATTGAAATATGCTCCCGTAGATGCATGACTCGGGTCTAGCCATTCTACTGCTTCTGTACCTCCAAACCCAGGAACCCTTATAGAAACACCATCAGGATTCCTTGTGGTCCTTGTTGCATTATCATAAATTAATTTAATATTATCAATCCAACAATCGATGACAAGCGGAACTAATAATTCCATGTTCAACCATATGTTGAAGTAATCTTTAGTTGCTTTTTGGCAAATATAATGTATAACATTGCTCTTGTTTAATTTTGCTTCTAACTGAGATCCTCCATCACCAGGTATTAATATCACAGGATTTAGATCTGCATAACATAACGTAAAGAACGTAAAAAGAACTATTTTTAGGTTATAGACGTAGTTCATTCTTATATTATTAAACAAAGAACTTAACACTTCATTCGAACTTGAGAGTTATGAGTTTTTGTGTTTAATTTTGAACTTCTTCATCACTAAACTGATGTGTTCATGAATAACAACTAAAATTTGTTGATAAACAACATTCGAGAACAGCTGATGTTTTGAGGTTATAGCACATGCGTAAGTTCTGATTGGATTGCGTCAAGTAAGGAGATGCAAAATCATAGAAAACCTAATATTAACTATATTTTCTATGTGCAAAATTAAAATATCCAGATGCCAGACCGAGTGAATTAATAATTTTAACCCCTAGATTAGATTGTAACCTATGTACATACTTAGCGTATGATAATGGTATGATTTTAATGTCAAGTAAATAATTTAACCTTTATAAAGATAAAAATATAATTAGAATTATTTATGAAGCATTTTTGCGCCAACGTTTAATTTAAAACACAATGAGTGCGTTTGTTAATTGCTTAATTGCTTATTTTAGTTTTCATAAAACAATGAGTCACACGTCCGAAATTCGGGATAGGAATTATGATAGATCATAAAATAATTTTTTTTTTCTTCCTCTATGCGAAAATTAAATTAGGTAATCGGTAATCGTATTTTGCTAATGAAGTGTAGGACTCGTATCATTTTTTAGGAGATGATTTCTGGGCCTAAGAAACTTTCCTGACGACAAAACTTCGAACGAAATTTGTGAAATAAAAATAAAGGTGTCGTGTAAGATGATTTTTGCGTAGTGTTGAAGCGACATGGGTCCGCGGTGGAGACGTCGGAAGTTCGAATCGAGCCTCACGTTGGGCGCCATGTCGTGTAAGATGATCGTTTGTGCCTAATATTTGAGAATTATGAAGAGAATTGGCAACAAGGGCTCGCCGTGAAGACGTCGAAGCAGGACTTCGAGCCCCACGTCGAGCGCCATGTCGTGGAATATGATCTGAAGGTTGTGTTTGGTCAGTGGAGACATCGGGAGTTCTAATCGAGCTCCACGTTGGCAACAATGTCACAACCTATGATCTGGGATGTCAGTTCCCTTGACCGGGGTCCGCGGCAGAAACGCACGGAGTTCGCGAGGATCATCACTATCGACGCCAGGTCGTAGTATATTCTCCGATGGCTGTAGTCGGTGGTGACTATATGACCTACAGACGTGGTGTCTAGGACACGAGCTCGCGGGGGAGATCTCGACGAAGAATGTCGAGCCCCACGTTGAGCACCGTGTCGGGTTAGACTTTCTAAATAAGGACCACTTAGGCGGTGATCGTATGTTCGGGGAAAATCCTGAGAGTGGACGGGCGACGTACCAGAATTGCTTTGATAAAAAAGGCCGGCTCCGTCACCTACGACGTAGTCGGCTAAGGGGTTTTCGCTTACCATGGCACCCGAACGCGATGCGCATTGCTCCCGCTGGATACCATTTCGTGAAAAAGCTGAATAAACTGTATCGTCGTCGCCAACGGCTCCACGTTCCGGGACACCCGATATCGGAGGTAGGCCGCTATCGGGGCCGGACCGCGAACCGTGGTTGGACTCATGGGATTCCCCGGACCCTACCAGTTGGTACGTAGGTTGAACCTCGTCCCGAGTATCTGTGGGTGACCCACTTCGTGGTAACTCTTGGTTGCTACTCGGATCCGCGAGTGCGTCGTGAGGGGTGGTCGAGATGGTGCCAGTAACTCGCGTAGCAGCGGACCTCAACGCGTACGGCGCTGTGGCTGCGCCGTGCCGCGTACTTCCGCGAGCCACCATCTTCGGTCCCTCAGACTCTTCGCGGAGCATCGATATAGCGTTGGCAGGAGAGGCCATTTCCTCTTTCACCCCGAATGTCGAGAGATCTTTCGCCGGCAAACAGGTGTGAGGGCAGTTCGTGTGACCGCTGGTCTCTCCGATTTGGGACGAGGTCTCGTCCAGCTCAGTCTTGATCATGATCTGATTTATTATTTATTGTACCTTCGAGGGCACCAATCCTCGTAGCACTGGGTATCGAAGTCGCGTCGCAGGGGTTCATCTTCCCCGTACGACAATGGTAGAAACACTGACTCTACTATTAAAATGTGGGTCTCTCGAGGGAGCCCTAGAAGCAAGGACAACTTCTTTACTAAATTTGGAAGTACGTCGCCACAATAACGTGCGTACTATTGCTTTGTGCCCGTGGGTAACAAAGTAAATGCCTCGTAGGGTTTTGACGAGGAAGGTTGCCTCGACGAGTGACCACCTAGAAGTTTGACGAGGAAAGTTGCCTCGGATTTGCAGATCTCGATTGAGTCTGATTGATAGGTCTCGTAGGAGCCTATGTATGTACTCTGTACCGAGGTGCGGGTCTCTCGATGGAGCCTGCACGATCGGAATCAAAGTCTTCGTCGGAGGTTCGCAGCCTCGGACGGTATGCAGGTCTCTGGAGGAGCCTGAAGGTATCGTTGTTTCGTCGCAGGGGGCGATCGAACAGGATCTTCGCCTCAGGTTGAGCTACCTCGGGCGGTACGCAGGTCTCTGGAGGAGCCTGAAGGTATCGCTGTTTCGACGCAGGGGGCGATCGAACAGGATCTTCGCCTCAGGTTGGGCTACCTCGGGCGGGACGCAGGTCTCTGGAGGAGCCTGGAGTATCGCTGTGTCGATGCGAATGGCTATCGCACAGGATCTTCGTCGGAGGTGGTCAGTCTCGGACGGTTTCGCAGGTCGCAAGTGGATCCTGGAGTTTACCGCTGTTTCGATGCAGGGGGCTATCGAACAGGGTCTTCACCTCAGGCTAGGCTACCTCGGGTGGTTGTCTCGTTAAGCGAGTAGTGGTTGCAAAGCACTATTAATATCACGTCGAGGAATGGCAGCCTCGACGGAAGCCTCGTGAAGCGAGCCTGTCAGCTTGAGCTCCAAAGTTCTTGAGCTTGATGACAGGGTTTTTTCAATCAAACCGTGGAAGATATGTTAAGTATATATTGAAAAGAATTAACAGACAATAAAGGTTCACAATTAACATATACAAGTTATTTACCATGAATAAGATTTGTTACACAATCGCTCTGTATCGCTTTCTTGGACCATGTACTCTCACTGAAGTACTGCGAATGCCGGAAGTCGACGTTCGCTCGCTTTTCTCAGACCTCCATACTTTTGGCGGACCGGTCGTGAATTGTCCGCCAAAATTTCTAGCAAAAAGCGCTCGTCGTCGCTGTCGACGTCGGGACTCGTTCCCCTCTGACCTCTCCGGATAGTCGATGTCGGCGTCGGGGATTTTGGAGTTTTTTCCCGGTTTGGGAAAAACTCTACCCGCGGTCTCGGCTTAGGCTATCGAGCATCGCATCCAACCGCCAGAGCGGTGAGACCCTCGGAAGACGGTTATTTCGGCCCAAAGACGGGGAAATTGAAAACATCGGTGACATTTTCCCCGTCTTCGTAAAAGGGCTTACGGTGGTCTTATTACTGGATGGATTTTATTGAGCAGTGGACTGGTGATGCACGGCATGAAGTAGTGCCGTGGTTGGAGGGTTCGGCCGAGATCGAATGAGCGGAACGGCTGAAAACGCGGAAAACGTGAAATCCGCGTTTCCGTTATAACGGCGTTTTGGCTCATTCGATTCGGACGAAAATTTTATGAGATAATGTCAGCGACTTGAGGAGTGCTGCATTAAATTTTGACACCGATTGCTCAATAATTTTTGGAGTTATTGGCGATAGCGTCCTTAACCATTTCGAAAGTGTAGTTAAAATTTCTGATGATGGTTTCCAAATATCGCCTCGAAGCGTCCCGGAGTTCGTCTGCAGGTTGCGAGAGTAGCGGCAGTGGACACTGCGCGCCGGGATGGCAGACCCAGGCGAGATCGGTCGCGATGCGGGTAACACTGGAAACATCGGTGAAATTGGTCTTAGCGCTCTGGAAGCGCTATCGCCGGGAGGATCGATGTCGGGTTATGGGGTGACGTCTGCATTGAGATGCAGAGTCGCGGAAATTGCTCCCCGACGGTATCGAGTGCGATGTCTGAAATGATACCGTGGAGGCTTTTTTGATTTGCCCGGCCGACGGCGATTAGTTTCGCAACCGTGGCGGGTTTGTGGTTTGGATTGGAAAGGTAGGTGAATATGATTGTTTCGCCTCCTTCCCAATTCAACGGTCTCCGGCATATCCGTAGGTACAAGACTACTTCTATGAATATACTGGGTGTTCTGAAATCCTGAAGCTCGCTCGAAGGGTGGAATACGACAAAGGTGGTCGACCTTGAGATCTTGAAAGTTGTTGCAAATAATTATATTTGCGCAATATTTTTTATCATAGTCAACTGATAAATATTGTAAACAACCCTGAAGGGGTTGTTATAATATAAAAATGAAATAAAAGATTTCAATTAAAAAAAGGCTAGGTACAATTTTATTTCTGTGTTATACTTAACAGAGTCAGTGAATGAATGAATCCCAGTGCAACTTAAATCAAGGTTACCACTCTGAGATTCCTTTTTATATAAACAAAGATATGTATCACAAACTTATCGACGAGCCCGCAGGAACCAAAACTGCTGACCAAACCTTCATAGTCCGCAATGTCATCGCTAAAGCGCCAAATAGCCAACAATATAAAATGTTTTTTTTTATTTTTCACCAAATTTTAATTCGTCTTAAATTACAGTACTTATTATCATAGATTACGTACACTAATCTGTGGTAGGTATTATAAAGTTTGAAAATAATATTAATAGAATTAAGAAAAATTAGTTTTGCAAAAAATAAAAAAATAACCTGAGTATATGTCAGTTGATTATGAAAATAACATACAGGGTGTCACCTAACGAGTATACATACTTCAAAGGGTATAATGGTATAATCTAGAACCTAAATGGTGTCGATTTAGCCAAACTTGTTTAAACGAAAAATGTCACAAAAAAGTTACAGTACATGGTGTTTCTTTTTTATTTCTTGTTTTCTCTTGTAAACTCTTTCAAATAAGAAAATAAAAACTACCCAGGTGAAATGTAAAACAATATATATTGTGAGAAAATAATGCATAGACAAGTAGAGCACTTGAGACTCGAGAACGAACTATCTGACTGCCTGACTAACATTGTAACTTCTACATCGTAAATGTAAACTATATAATCCTAAATAAACTGATGCCTCAGCATTCAATCCATCAATGCAGCTCCATTGGTCCCTATACGTGGTGTCCCCAACTGCTACCGCTTACAGTCGGTCAACCTGACAATTCTT